CAGTATCCTGAAGAGATCTCGTGTACTTTTCTCAAGACGTAAAATCAAGGGAAGGGGTCTCAGAAGGCTCCATTCAAAGTTTGAGGCCTTAAAACTCCGAAAATGAGAGCCCGAGCAGCCATCTGACAACCGTGTAATTGAAGTGCCTCTTTTTTCAAAGGGCTGCAGATCTACGATCTGTCTTGCTTGGAGTGACACCTTATCCAAAACTTCCCCAGGCTGCGGAAACCTGATGGCCAACAACTGGGAAGAAGTAATAATGATTACTAATTAGGTTCCGTGATTTCGGTGCCCTATACAAGTCTAATCATCGAAAGCACAATCATAGAAAGCATGTGCCCGGAAGGGTCCTTGTGAGGCACTGTATTAAAAAAACTCGCTAAAAACAAAAAAAAAACTGAAACCTCAAACTGTCATGATTTTTCGTCGAGCCACAGAAGCATAGACGTCTTGTTCACTTTCCCTCACCAAAATGAAGAATGCATCTGGTCTGGATTGAATATTCTCTGAGAATTCTAAGGAGTCTGAACAGCTATCACACCTTGTCCCTTCAAGAAACAGCAGTTCGGTCTTTGAGCTGTGTTCCATCAAGTGGCACATTACTACTGATGATAAAACGGCATATGTGGTGATTAAGCTTGCCAAGGCATCAATTTCATAATGAGTCCTTCGACTTCAACTTCGCAGCCGTTTGTTCCCCTCGCTTTGCTCTCTCTGGCCTACGTTGTATGAAGTAACTGATTACCTACAAAAATGTTGAGCATTTTCTATTTCCTACTGTCGGCCGCTTTTCTTGATTTAACCCTCTTCGTTGTTGACAGCCAAGGTTGGTTTGTTCTTCCTTTTCAATTCGAATCCATAACGAGCCACTACCCACATGAGAAAAACGGCTGGGTAACAGTCAAAAAGAGCTGTGATGGTTGAATTTTGCCTTACGGAACTTCTCCGCTATTGCTTATTTGACACCCTTCACAAAAAAGCCCCCAGTCATCCAAAACTTTCATGAGCTGTATGTATGAACTAATTTGTCATTCTGCTTGTTGCCCCTTGATTCTTGGAATTTACGCTGCTCTGCGTACTAGTCAGTGATAGCGTTTCTTGCTTTGGAAGTGTCGGCAGAACAGGACCTCCGGTGAGAACCGCAACGAGTTGATACTGGTGAACTCACCCACTTGATCCCGTTCACCATTTACAAACTACGAAGGTTTCTTCGCCATTCAGATAGAGATTTAACGCGATACGATCCTTTATAGAAATCAGAAAGGGAACTTTCATCCATAATTGCTCTGAGACTTTCCATTGGATTGGCATGGTTGGTTCCTTTGATGAATCGAAATCAGAGAAAAGTTGTTTGGTCTCAAAATTTAATCGATGCACCTGTTTGCAAGAATGATTGCTCACCAGTTCAAGGGCCATTCAAGAACTCAAACTACATGGAAAAAGTGACCAGTGTCCAAATTATGTTCGATTATGTTTGGGTAATCGGGAAAAATTGGCCAGTTAAGGCCTATAGCAATTGGTACAGCTCCATTAGAATTTTTAGGTGCAGAGATTCGTAGCAGAAAAACGAAGAGCTTTGAGGTACGGAAAATCCGGTGGTTTAATTTATGCGTAGAAGAGATCCAGCAAATTATGGGGAGGAATTTCGAAATTAAGAATGTACAAAGGAAAATTACATTTGAATATTAAGCGATCTGATCAAATAAGCATGGAGAGGACTTCGAAGCGATAGTTGTATAATTAGACGCAATGGGCAAAATCTTTCTGGTGCTCATTAGATGTTTGGAAAATCTGACTGGAACAATGTCGAACTGATGGTAAATGGGAACCAAAAACTCAAAAAACTAAACTTGGTTCATCTCCGGCTCCGATTTATTCCGGTCTTTCAGTTTGTTCACTCTATGAACATCCATTTTCAATCTTCATTCAATCCCTTAATTCGAATGTGGACGCTATAATGGAAACCGAATCGGGCCTAAATCAGAAATATTAGGTTGATGCATAATTATTGCGGATTGTTTTCAACAAATTTTATTTATTGGAACGATAAAAATATTGAACAAAAACATGTTTGTTCAATTGGTTACTCCGGAACTTATCCACCATCTACGTCAAGCGCTGGTTCCCATTGGCTAGATAGTTGGATTCCAAAAGCAAAAAAGTTTTGATCCTTAGGGGCGATCCCCGTCTTGACATCGGCCATCAAGTCATCCAAATCGACGTAATTCCTATTACCTAGCCATTTTTTCGGCGATCGGTTGATGAGATAATTCGTGGAAGCTTCTGCCGGTGATTATGGCAGATTTACGAGCAGACCCCATTTCTTGGTTGGCTTTGGCTGATTGTTCGATCGTCGAAAAGTTACTGGGATAGCGGAATGACTCTGCCACCTTCCAACTTTTCTCGAAGTAGTAGAACCCAATCTCGCGAATATGTGGATCGCTTTCTCGGTATGTTTTTGTAGAGGAAATCAAGCAAACCATTGCTAAAAACCGGATTCAATATTCAAGTTGTATCGAGAGAAAAAAGCTGCGAAAAAATCCGCAAGAATTATGCAACAACCTAATACTTTCCAGAACCCCTACATACTGTCTACGACAAGCTACGTCCTAGCATACAAGCCTCAAGCAGTGGCCAGGTTGGTTTGTAGTGGCACCAGAACCTTGTCCAACTACTCATTTCGGTTCGAAGCAATCGCAACCTCAATGATTCGGTAGAAAACTGAAGATTCAAAATATGTTGAGGTACAGAATCTTGGTATCCATATGTCCACAAGAAGAGCGCGTTTGGGAATCTGTATTTCGGGAGAAAACTGATAATAAAGGAAAATGGGTTTTATTAGCTTTGTTGAGTTTTTTCTCCACCTTATTTGCTGAAGTTAACACCAGATTTCCATAATTCAGACCTATTAAACCAGAGCCGCGCTGGAGCTCATGACAGTTGGAGGTCTTGAAACTAGAAGCCGTCCTTACCACAACTCAGTCGCTCCTAATCTCGAGTCTGGACGAAGTTTAAAAGAACTTTACAAGTAGCTGTGAAGATTTGCATTTCAGTTAGAATAATTTAATGAAATCAACTAGACTTATACCAATCAGTTCAAATGTAATACGATTTTGTTACGTGGGCAGCAGGAAAGAAGTGGGTTTCAAAATACAAGAGGAATCCCATGAGCTATAGATGAATAGTATGCAGCCAGTAAAAAGTATATTGGAACCAAGCGTGCAAAGAGAAGACTTGACACGAAATTCGTAGGCTACTAACGAATTGCTTATATAAAATTCATTGCATTTTCTGGTGCGTTTTTGGGTAAATAGACATGTCAGTGGAAAATGTCGGCTGTGATGAAACGAGCTCTCGAAAATATTAGCTCTGACAAAGCAGGGTGTTGAAAATACTAATCGACTAAAATTCCGCGAAGGTTTTTCTGGAATATTCTGGACCGGGGAACTGCTGTATAAGGACACTTCTCACGCGTATACGCTTAAACTACGCAGCAACTACCCCTTCCTTACTTACTTAACCATATAGTGGCTGAACTGCCTGTCTATTGAACACATAGTCCTTCGGTGTCCAAGTCCGGCCACTCCACTGAGGGTGTGGTACTCTTTTCCCGAACGGCGTGTTGCGCTCGTTCGCGCGCTGTGAAGGGAAAAATTTGAATTCCCAGTGGAAGAAAACAGCAGTCGCCGCGGAACCACAGCCGCTGGCCGTGGGACTTCGGGGAGAAGGGATCACCCCGCCGCTGGGGAGACTCATTGTAACTCATGTCAGTCCCTTCCAAGCTGTTCTGTGTACGCCTCTTTCCAACGCTTCACAGCCTGGAATGATAGGGTCGAAGGAGAATGCTGCGCTGGTCTACCGGCTACGATATTTTGAAATCATAGGCTATGTTATGCGCAGACAAGCATTTCTTAGAGTATTTCTATAGAGGTTGCTTTGGCATTTATGAAAATCAGGACTTCTGAGAAATTTTCAACGGTACTTTCTGTGCATCTTCACACTTACACAGAAGGAATGAATAAGCAGTCGAAAAATTGAATCCGCACAAAACAATCCCATCAATACATGATTGAAATATTCTTGTGCCGTGCGAGGTCTGTACTAATCCCTTCAATTTTTTGCGACCGAAACTTTCCTGCCTTAAGCCAGTAGCACGTTTTTTCTATTCATCAAGAAGCTAGTCCCTATGAATTGTTCTTCAATTTCAGGTTTCGACTACAATGCACCAGTGGATTATGATTGTTATTATTGGGACACCTTGATAGAAATGCCCATAGAAGATCTGTGGGCTAGCCGATGTGATACCGTAACCGGAGAGATTACAATCAATTCGGCCACAAATCTTACAGAGAGTCAACTGGAGAAGCTTTTCCAGAATATCACCACCATAAATGGAAGAGTTTTGGTGGAAAGGACGAATTTAAAGCGGCTGACCTTCTTGAAGAATGTTGTCAACCTGAACACTTACTACTCTGCCTGTGAGTGGTATACCATTTGCTCAAATATGATACCAGGAAGTAGCGAGTCATAAAGTTTGACGATATCCAAGAAACCCCGCGCGTTCACCACCTTAGGAGGCTTTGATGGTGGCCGTTAATTGCAGCGCGGTCTGGGTGATCCAATCCGCTCGCCAACTGCTTTTCCTCCTTTCTAGAAATAAAGTCTTTCAAAAAAAGAGAAAAAACAATTATTTTAGTCCAGGAAAATGTAACTATTCCACCACCCCCATTTAGACGTGCTTGAAATTATCGACAATCCTTTTCTATCGCAAGTGAATCTGGACAAATTAACGTCTGCAGATGGGATGGTTACAGTACGAGGGAATCCTTTGCTAAACGCGAGTAGGCTTTGTACTCAACTGGAAAAAATCGTTGGTGAACATTGGAGGATATCCGGAAATAAGGTGGACTGTGGTGGTGAGTGTTTCCAAAGTTTGGTCTTCCTCCATTTTTGAATTTCTAGCTAGATCTGAAAACACCACTGTGTTTTTCAGGCTTTCAGCTGGATTTTCCCTTGACATTCGACTCCATATTGAACGTACCACCGAATCTGACCTTTATTCATGGAGATGTAATTTTTAGAGAAACAGGTGCTTAATTTGACTTCTCACATACGGGTGCGCTTCGTTGCGCGCGTTCGTCGAAACTAGGTCACGTCGCAGCCGTCGCGTGCGGCATGACAGCCCGCGGTACTTGACNAAGATAACACGGACAAATGCAAATCATTCGCTCCACCGATACTTGGTGGTACTGGTGCGCCGGGCGCGAGGTGGGCGGGTTGACCTACTTTCGTCGGACACGCGCAATGACGTCCTCGCTCACATTGTACATATTAGGCACAGAGAGTGGGCCGCCGTAAGCGAGAGACCGCTGCGCTATGAAGAGCACTGCGTCTAACAATGGGCTGGTCTTCTGGTTGAGAGTAAATTAAAGTTTCTTAGTGATTTTTCGATTTCGAGGGTCCATTGACGTCAAAAAGGAGAGGAACTGTAGAAAAAAATCTCAGCCTGCTGACGTATTTACCTGCTCCCATTATGATTGACTAAAGTACTCGTCCATGGGCCACCCATATTTGAGTTCCGTTTTACTCAAAACTCAGCCTGTTCTTTAGCAATTCCTCCCGATCGACTGGCTGTCCTTTCTTCAGTGAAAAAAATTTCCGGATGTTTAGCAGTGCTGAAAACCAATTTTGAAACGCTCTCATTTCTTGGGAATCTTGAAGAAATCAATTGTGGAGGTGTGTTTGCAGTTTCATTCAATCGCTCAAAGATATCTTCACGATCATTCAGGCTACACCTATACTTTTTTGAATGCATTTTTTAATTGCCCTGTAGACAGGCGGTTGGAGGGATTTGAAAGAATTTTAGCTTTGATTTCCAGATAAGCGTCAGGCTGCCATCAGCATTTTTGAAAATGATTATCTGAGCAGTCTCGGTATGCCAAAGTTGACAAAAATACGTACCAGTGCACCTATTGAAGCTCAGAATAATAGAATTTTCGAAATAACATTCGATGAAATCGAAGCGCTGGTAACTACCGGCGTGCCACCCATCCAGTTCAACGGATTTTTTCCTACAGGTAAGCGTTACAGTAATCTCTATCTCAACAGACAGACTTGTGTGAAAATTAAGCCGAGAGCTTCGCAAACAGCCAAGTTCAATCCACAATGCTAATCCAAGCTAATGACAAAACAAGCTCCGTATGAAGTGGTTGGGGACATTTATTGACTATTTTTAACGGACCCCTTCCTTACAGGCTTGAAAAGAATGGAAATCGAGTTGCAGGCTTCTTGACAACAAATCTTAAAAACTAACTAAATTACCTTCAAAACGACCTGATTAGCAAAGGGTAAGTAAACACCATTTTCAGGGATCCACGGGATAGTCTCGCAACCAATGACGGTTTATCTCACTTGTATAAACTCCCTCTTGGTTAACATTCCTACATAATGGGTGAGCTACAACTTAAACGACAGGCAGCCTGTCCCCAGATTTCAGGGCTTTTAATCTGAATCAAAATTGGTTTCGAAATGAGGTTTATGGCGAAAGATCTCAAGACCTTCCCCTTCTGAATCCTACTGAATCTTCAAAATACAAAATTTATCAACTCTACAAACAAAACAATTTAACAAACATTTCTGATTTTTCATGATACCGATGGAGATTTTGATTGTTGTTTGAATCTCAGAGAACCTGCCAGCGGATATATGCATTTTCAACTCACTGACAGATGACTTAACGGCACTAAATGAAAACTGTACGGGCCTCGTTGGCCTCCTATATTATGAAGAGCGATCATTTTCGGATATGGAAGTACAGATTCTCAAAAGAGTACGGAGAATCTATGGCAACATTGACCTAGTCAATATGGATATCGAAGATTTGTCCATGTTCTCAGCATTGGAACAAGTTATTTCATTAAACAGTAAGTTTTCCTACGAACTGAACCTACTGTTGTCCTTATCTGGACCTATATCTTCTTCTTACAAAACTACACCTCTTCCCAGTGAAAATCCGTTGTAGTAGTCGACCTATCCATTATTTAATTCAAGTCACACTTCGTGATCAAAATCTTTACAAAGTTATCCCTTGGGAGGGTCCGTGCCTCCTACCGTATACCACATCTCCCGCTGCCGTATACCAATTGGAAAACGGTGTGATGTGGCGTGCTAAGGGTTCAAATTTTGCGTTGGCTGTATGCCACGAAAAAAAACTTAAAAGGGGTCAAAAACATCGAGAATTTTGCTTTTAAGGGTCTGATGAGCTTTATCTTCAAGTATTGCAAGAAATGATTTCTATTCAGAAACAAGAGCGATTCAACTGAGTTCTATGAGTTCATTGAAATCAATTTCGTTGCCGAAATTGAAACTTGTCTATGCACCAACCACTTCCAAGTTTGCTGTCGACAACTGCCCAAACATCATACTCACTCCGTCGGAATGTGAAGCTTTCAACAAAGCCAGTCATGATGCCTTTTCTATAGATAACGAGTTTTGTAGTCATTAAACTTAATCTACCACCGATATGAAACCATATTGAACTTGATGTGGCAAATTTTCCCATGACACTTTGAAGGAGCGTTGCCTACGTGCTTATTTGGAGAGAATTCTCTGATGTAAATTCTACTTGTGGCAATGCATTCTTTTTTTCGTATTTCTTAAAGAGCGTGGTTTTCTGGACTGCTGATTATTGCAGCGGTAAGCAATAGGAACGTGGTTTCAAAGGTGCTGAATTATGAGCGAAACGTAATCGCAACGTAATAAACAAGCAGCTTCAGACGGAACTCGAAAATCGTGGCATTGAGCTAGGCCCAAGACCAGTTTCAGACTGTGTACTTTGACAAATCCTTGTACCAACTGTTATGTCTTTCACCAAAACACTTGCATCAAGCACAACTTGGTCAGTTTTTGGGAATCGCATTTTCAGAGAATTCACTACTCTACTACCCACCACAAATTGGACTATCTGAAATATATCTCTATTCACCTATAAAAACCATGCCGACAAAAATTTTCAGAAGCTTGGGTATCATTAATTTGTAAATGTCCATGTAAGAGTCCGACAGCGTATGCAAACATCTGCAGTATAAGCTTGACTATTCAAATTATTCAATGCGTTTAAATTTATCTAAATACCAGACTTTCGGTCATATTCAGAGATAACGATGCTGGCGTTGGTACCACCAAAACCGAAGGAGTTCACTACGGCTATCCTTGGCCGAGACCATTCCGTGACTTGCCGCAGAAGCGTTAGCCCATCGTCTTCATCTGACTCATTCAAATTAAGATTCGCTGGTAACTTCGCTTCACGGATAGCCTCCACCGTTGCTATGACTTCAACCGATCCGGCTGCAGCTAGCAGATGTCCAATGTGACCTAAAATAGACTATTCTGGGCAGCAAATCGCGATTCCATGATTCATCGCTATGTACCTTTGATTGATGAGACAGCAATATTGTTTTTTCCAAACACTTCACGAACTGCGGAAGCTTCAATTGTATCACCAGTAGGAGTAGAAGTTGCATGTGCATTCACGTAGCTCACTTGGTCGGGGCTTATTCTGGCGTCTTCAATCGCTCTCTGCATGGACAATCGCGCCCCTATACCTGACGGATCTGGGCTGGTTATGTGATACGAGTCCGAAGAAATTCCTGAAAAGACCCTATCAACGATCACAAACGCTAATTTCCAAATCATGATGGTAATGATAGGAAAGAAAAGAAATCAAACTGTGCATACCATAACCATTGACCTCTGCCAGTACAGGAGCGCCTCTGTCGAGAGCATCCTAAGGTCGCAGAAATTGAACGGATCGGTGTTCCTAACACGAACTTATGAGGCGAAGAAAGTTCAGCTCACCTGTAACCGCTCAAGAAGTATCAACCCAACTCCTTCACTGAGAACAAAGCCATCACGTTTTTTGTCGAATGGACGACTACATGACGGCTCCTTGCCATGAGACAAAGCTCGCATTCTGAAAAGAACGGTCATTTTGAGTGAGGGACAGTAGGTGCGGAGAGCGGTCTTTTGGTGGGAGGGACTGTAAGCGAGATCAAGGAGAGGGGAAAGATTTCAGAAAGGACTGAAACTATTCGAAAGAATTTCGAAATGATAACCAACAATAATAATAGTTACTAACATTCCATGTAATAACATAATCAAAAATTACGTGGAAAGAAGCATCACAGGCCTCAATCAAGCAGCAGTGTTCAACGCAGCGCAAGCACAGACGAGCAAAAATGTTGCTCTTACATAGTTACAACAGACAAATCTCCTCTTGCCCAGTTCAACTTGGCTGTACGTTCTTTCATGGACCTTGAAATCTGCCTCTTTCCCCTTCGGGCCACATACCTATCAAATCCCGCTAATGCCACTCCATTCACACAACCTTCAGCTGCCCCAGCAATAGCACGTCGAGCCCAACCATGACGAACAGTTCGAAAAGCATTCCCTGAATTGTTTTGCTTTCAACTTTAGTGTTCACAGAACGGGTTGAAGTTATACTGTAGCGGACAGCTCAATCATTGTACGCATCTCTGAAAACTGACCTATACAGTGAAGTCCCGTTGCACATGCCGTCGCTGCACTCTCAGCTCCGCCTTTCATACCGTACCTTTAACATCGACAGACCAACGCTATGACATCCAATATTTCAAGATGATCACATTATAACCAAGTTATACAAACTTGAGGCGATACAACTATCGGAACAACAGTATTTCGAAAAAAACCGCAGAATCGAATCAAAACCTACTTCATAGCAACGTATCCAGCTGGTAGATTGGTAAGAATCCGAGGCACGAAATAAGGTGACACTTTTCTGGAATTTAAGCCTTAGAATGAAGATTAAAAGTGTTCTAGTACCACAAGACAAAGGTACAGTTTCCATACCCTTTATCACTTGGCCATAGAGCAATTCAGATGTTAACATAAACTCGCTCGCTTTCAAAGAGCAACCAACCTCGACTGTCCTTTCTCGACAAGACCAACGGTCCTGCCTATTTCCAACAAATCAGATACGCCAGTCCCAATATTCACTAGTGTGTCAGTATGGTCGAGAGATTCAGCATTGGAAAATTTCATAGCCTAAACCCTGATAAATACCATGAAATTACTCATCTCTTTACCCTTGAATCTTTCCACGATAGGTTTTACACTTTACTAAATTGTTCATATAGCATCCCAATGTAAGAATAGAGGCAACACAGAGGAAAGAAACCCAGTCTTTTTGGTCACATGGAATCGCTTACCTCTTCTGCAGCTAGTAGTGCCAATTGACTAGCTCTACTCATCTCCCGCTTTTGACCGGCTGTCCACCGCTTGAAGTCGACTTCGTCATCCGGAATAGCACCTACCTCAAATGAAATGTTGACTCTAAAGAACAATCACATTTCCGTCCGCAGTTGTAAAGGGAAGATAGAAATGATATAGAAAATGAATATAAACTATTTGAAGATCCCCGTAATTAAAACCACAAAACAGATCAGTACAGAACATTTTGACTGCTTACAACGAATCCAAATTCTTCTGATAACTTCAAACCCGTTCGGGATTCCAACAGCAACGCTTTTCTGAGCAATGACACACCAGCACCGTAAGGCGTCACAGCACCCATGCCTGTGATTACCACCCGATGCATAACGGTCAGCTGAAGTAAAGACCGTATTTCCTGTGCTTAAAACAATAATCTTCTGAATGGCTTTAATAGGACAAGATGGTTGTCTTTGATCAGAAATTCAGCAAAACAGAAAGTCTGAGCAATGGTATTAAAAACACGCTGTTACCCGCTCGAGTGTGACTTTTAGTTCAAAGAAGACGATTTTTCATCTCAACGGTTTAATATGGCAACTTAGCATATTTGAAAACATCAGAAATTCAACAACAAATGGCCTCATGAACGCAAACAAGAGTAACCATTGAAGTAATCTAAAACAAACAATGCAACAAGAGCAAATGACTCAAAGTGAAACATAGAACTGGGCAAGCTCTAGCGGTAAATCTAGTGACTACAATTTCGAATGGAATGTCAAGGGCGAAAATAAATAGACCCTACACTAATAAAGCTTCTATCTTCTTTGCCAACTCAAGAAACGCTTTCGCCATAGCTGATTCCGGATACTTCTCGAAGAAATCTTCTCCATTGTCTAGTGCCTAAACATAATTTGATAGGCATCTCTCAATGTGCTTTGTGCGAACAGAAATATTCACTTTGTTAATCCAACTTCATATCAAGAGTTGCTCAAAAAAGTTCTGATGCATATCGCAGTGATTATTCTTGAGCGGCTTCTGCCGGTTACAGCAGAGCAGTGTCCCAACAATTAAGGTGTCCTACCTGAGCTAAGGAGGGTTCCAATGGCAGCTGACCGAGAAGCTGCAATTTTCCTTCATCGCACATAGTTGTTACTCCCCCTGAAATAACGTAACGCGGAAGTAGATCCTACATAAATAATGATGTAGCTTGCAAAGATCTACCTATTATAATAACTCGACTCACCTGTGGTTGACGGGAACAATATGCTGGTATGATTACAATGTGGACAAACGAACTTCGCCATGTTCTCCACTACACCCAGAACAGGAACTTTCGTTTTGTGACAGAAACTCACCTGAAGGTAAAAAAAAAGGTAAAAAGAATTAAGCAAAAAATTTTCGGCCATTAAAAGAGATCAAACAAGCTCTAAGAGCACTGATACAGAGTATCTGCCAAAAATATACTACTAATGATGAAAATAGACGTAGATTCGAGATTGTGTGAGACTGCTCACTTCTTTTCGGACATCAAGCAATGAGACTTCTTGTGGAGTACTGACAATGATGGCGCCGTCAAGGCTGCCTGCTTGCAAAAGAAACTGCACCAAAGAGATGTGTTCATCGGATGTACCTGGTGGTGTGTCAATCAGCAGGTAGTCAACCTATAAAAGCGATGATTTATGAGATGACCAATTATTTTCAGGAACTGACATGTGCCGAAGCGTGCGAATGCTTGGTGTGACGACGTCAGTATAGCAAAGATTTCTAATTGATTTCAACTCATCCACACCTCTCCCCAATCAACGTCACGTAGAAATTGCTTGATCATACCGTTTTTACGTGCACCACGCCAGATAACAGCATCATTCTTGTTTCCTATAACGGAACTATTTCCTTACCTGTCTACGGATTCATCCAATAAACAGGAGGAAAAGATGAATTTTAAGGGCTCCGCCAAAAACCATAGATTGCATGGGAAATCTCATAAACAACAAACCCAACAAAAAGGCAATGCTCATAAGCATAAGATTATCCTTGACAGAAACAGGTGTCCACCCGTCAGCACTGTCGTGAACCTCCTCCTCTTCAACTCCCATCATACGGGGTTGTGAAGGTCCACAGATATCTACATCCAAAATGGCTACCTAAAATTTCCAGAGATCAATAAACGCAAAACGCTGCATCAATATCATTTAGCTCCTACCTGCTTCAATGGATTAGCAGCCAATGCTCTCGCTAAGCTAGATGTTACGGTGCTTTTGCCAACTCCTCCTTTGCCGCTGAGAATCAATATCTGGAAAGAGCTAGAGTATGAACTGCTTCAGCACTTTAATATTCGTAATAAATTACAGCAACACCAAACCATCCCACATCGGGTTATTTAGCTCTGTTTACACAACGCTGTTTAACTTTGGTTGAAGCGCGGCGCCGGCAAAGACGGGATTTCCATAAGAAAATGAAAACCAAATACAGGCATCTTCAAAAAGTGGTGTAGGCAACTTTCTGAACCAGGAATGTTACCTTGTGCTTGACATGACGAAATCGGTCTTGAATAAGTCTGATGTCATCATCCGGCTTTGGTGGTTGGCCAGTGGAACAAGATCCCTGAAAAGTATTTCTCCGCATCACAACATCTGCTTAAGGCATAGCGATGGGGAAATACATGCAACAGTTCGAGGATCTAATTGCAAACTGAATTACTGAGGCAGTCACAGAATCGCAAGGCTTCATTGCATCATGATTTGAGTAGTGGTGATGAACATTACCACAAAACTTCCAAAATTCACACAAACCTGGTTCGGACAGCCAGCACATCCAGCTGCTTTTCCAGCTCCTTCGCTTCCCACTCCTGGGCACCCTGCATTTGCATTTACCGGCACATCCGCCATAAATAATCTGCTTCGACTACAAAGTGAATTGTCTTTCACTTAAGTCTCCAATCACATTTTACTAGTCATCTTACGAGTAGAAGACCTTGTGCGAGAGAAATCAGATCAAGTTAAAAGTAAAGACGTTGAAGTATGACGCAAACCAGAGAACGACTTTTGGATGCAAGTTGCAATAAGGGGAAAAAGAGAAAGGAAGCTACAACAAAACCCCATGGAATGTCCAATAATGCCACATATATCCCAACATGCTTTGAATGCCAGTTGATGAGACGATTAAACATACGATAACCTTCAGTGCACATTGCCCGAAAGCGATCTTTGAAACACGAGGAGCTTTAAGCCTGTGCATCCGTAAGTCAAAGTGCTCCGTCTGCACTAATTCAATCTCTTACCGTAATCCTATTTTGTTCATAAAAGTATTTTGGTGGGTAAGCGATTCAAGTATTAGCCTCATGAAAACTTATTTCTTACTTTTTTCGCAATACTGGGCTTACATCAGTGGTCTCGGACTACACGCGAACCGCTTTAGCCTGTTCTGGAAAGCTTAGGCTCTAGCTTGGCAATGATGCTCGGCTCCCAATACTGCATTCTCGATCTGAATACGCATTTCAAAGCTATCATTGGTTTAGTATATTTTATGGATTTTGCAGTCACAAAGCATGGTCAAAGATGGTACCGTAAATGGATCGGATCATAACGTCAAAGGAAAGCGATTGAAGAAGAAATTCAAGGAGTCAACAAAACTGAAAGTGCCCTCCGCTCAGCATTCCGCAACCACTTCAGTTCAGAATGATGAATTACGATGTATGTTGAGGTTTGCGCGCTTTACGCTTCGAAGTTCTACAATTTCTTATATGAGCATGATTGCTTCATGAATAATGGCGCGTAGTCGTTCGGAACGATGTGTCCTTAACTGGGCAATTCTTTTTCGGGTGTTACACGCATTCAGCAAATTACAGAAACAGAGTCAAAGGTTAAGGCGCAGTTTTTCCAGAGTAAATCACTTGCGACGGTGTTGTTGCGGGAGTATCCTTTATAAGATAGTTTTATTGATTAATTATATTATTCAGACCTTCGTTACTCTGTCAGCGAGCGCTATCCAGCACCTCGGCAGCTATTTCTGAAACTGGATAAGTCTAATGAATTTTCACTCATTGTTGGAAACGTGCCAGCCTATCTGCCAAAGGTGAGTGGGATTTAAGAATTTAAAATGTGTCTTCTTCTCTAATTGATACCCAACCACTGACCTTAAATTTACAGGGGTTCGTTGAAGGTTTTCTAAAGCAGTTCGTACAAGTACCAATTACTGAAGTCCTAGAGCAAAGGAGCAATGCGTTGGATGGTTCTTTAAATCATGTACAGCTTCTTTCATCTTAAAAAATTGTCTGAATGCGTCATCGTCTAACATTATTACAGGGGCAACTAACCTTATCGGTTCGGTTTGAAGATCCAAAAGGTGTCAGTATCGCGCTTTCACAATGTCAGGATGTGGGACCATTTCGGGTATGCGATTTCGTCGACCCCGAGGTACCATCCGTTCTGCAGAGTAAGGGCTTCTGGTGTTGATCAGTTAAAATCCAAACACACAAAAATAGAATTTGAATTGAAAGAAGTGTGGTTTTTTTTTCAGATTCCGTTGCTCTCTATCGCAGCCTTTTCCCATCTGCTGAGGAGATACAAAAATCGGCCATGGATTTCATCCAGAAACAAGATGAGGAGATTCAGGAGGTTCCTTGAGCTGTTGCCTCCACAGATAATGCTTTATTTTCTGAATACTGGACAATGCACTGTTCTAGGCGAAGAAGGCGGCCAAACGGAAGCTGACTGAACCTGATGAAGAGGGCTGGATTACTGTTACAAAAGCTGCAAAGAGGGTTTGTTCTTTTGTTATCTTCATTTTTCCCCTACAGTCAAGTGGGTATGTTTTACTGTTGTTTACAAGCCTTCTTCTGTCTTTTGTTTAATTCTGTAGTTTTGCTTTTTTTTGTTCGTGATTCGCGAACACTCTCCAGAGCCTTGACAATAACCATAGCTATGCTTTCTGATCTGCTCTGTAGCAGCTTCTTCTTTCATCCTTTTCCCTTTTGACTTGAAAAGTTGAAGAATGGTAATAGTAACAAACCCGGAATTTTCGTTTTTTAGGTTGGTAAACTTATGAAGCTGAAGAAGGATGAAGTACCTTCCATGGGTGGCTTAAAGAAAAAGAAGAATCATGTAGGTTTATTATACTTACCAAAGAGGTCCTTTCATTGTTATATGCTACCTTTTCNTTCATTTTCTTGATTGCATTATTGTTTCAGGTCGATATCGCATTTTATTCATTCGATAAAAAGAACACCAAAACTAAAAGTGAGTTAGTTTTTACACAAGGGTGAGACCGAAAGCGGTTGTTAGACTTGGGATGCTTTTCATTTTGATATAGATGATCTTTGCTGTGTTGAAATCAGTTGGTAAAAGCTCTTCATAGAAGGGAGAATTGAGTTTTCACTGTCACCAAGGTCCATTATGCTGCAAAGCTAGGCAACTTCAGTATCTGTTCAAAATCTACTGGCCTAGAGAGCCGCTGTATTACCTGCAGAAAAAGTTTATCTTTCAGAACTAAATGAATTGAGAGAAAAATTCAATCAAGATAAGAAGAGGATAGCGCTGCTGAAAAATGCAAGGAAGTTCAATCCGGACTGATGTTCTGCCTCTTGAGCTGTATCCGGCTATAGTTGGTGCCGTTGTTATGTTGTTCACTACTTGTTGTTACTTTTAATTAGTTGTTGTACAAATGAATATTCGTGTATGTACAGAAAATTGAGCAATTTCTGTAATATTTCTATTTCGATCGTCCTATAGCAGAGGTTTAACATTAGCGGTTTTGATTATTTTACATGGCAAATTCCTTGTTTCCGGCCCTTGGCAAAAAAACTCGATATTATTGGTCGAAAACAACAGAGAAAGCCCTTCTCCCGAAGAAATTCTACTATAGTCTCCCGTTTTCCATAACCACAGGGAAATATAGGTATCGAGTGACTGCCTTTGTACAGAAACTTGGGTCATCTCAAACGTTTACTCTCACACAGACTTCCGCGGTTTGGTTGGGATCTCTCTATACGCCTATTAGACACAGGTACAGAATAGGTGCAGAAAAGCAGAAATGCAACAACACTGTGAGCACCTACAAAGGTTTCCACACTGTGGCTGAACACGAAAACCACGGCTTCATTGATAACAATAGGCATCTCAACATATGCCAAGCTAGGCAGTCTGTGACATGTCGGTCTTGCTGTTGTTACGTTTGGCAATGAACATGTTGTTGTTGGATCAGGTGAAGGGTTGTATTTGGAGAAACTTCAGGGCAGTAACAAGCGTCAACCTCCCTGCAATAGACCGTATTTTAGGCAATTTTTGACACCAAAATCATTTTCTATCGCTTGGAGATATCGAAGGTTGCCAAAATCGGCAGTTATTGATTCTATCGGGGCTCAGATGCTGTTGAGAATACAATCATTGGTAGAACTCCGAAAGTGCCTCGTAAATCCAGATTCCAGATTTGCTGCGACCCTCTTGTGGCTCCATTCATTTTTTTTTCTATCAACCTAAAAACTTTCATATCGCCAGCGTATCATCTCAAATTGTTTTCTTCTGGGCTCAGAATACTCCACCATCCACTATTAAAGCTTACGCCCGAAGAACTTTAGTTGTCCAAGATCTTTTACTCACTTGGGTAAGCGCTCCACTTTAGATAGTGCGCTCCATCGCCACTGTAAATCTTACTATAACGAATTTTGATTCAAATTGGCGCTCATGAGTAAAACGTGCTTACGCATGCGTGGGTGGAGTTTTTGTGAACCGTATGGGGGACCTTTTCGTTTATTGTTTACAAAAAAGACGACACTAATTAACCTTCACGTTGTTCCCCAGGTGCGATCTTTCATGACCCAATCTTTGCAATAAGCGAAATTGCAATGATAAGATGTTATGCCGGATAGGTCGAAATGTCATCTTCGCTATCTTCGTCATTCATCTTCGTTGTCTTCATCTTAAAGGTTTTGTTAAATCATTGCATCGCTGGCGTTCAAAAAACTAGGGCTACGCTTCAAAACTAATGAGGAATCGGCTTGGGCGTGCACACGTAGCATGACGTATTGCGGGGGTATTTATTCAATGTTACGTATTGATTCGCAAGCAAAATATGGACTAACAAGTCCGAGCACACGATTAGCATACGTCAGAGACTTCTTTATAAACTTGTAATTTAATAGAAGTTGCTCAGTACGGAAGTTCTTATGGTTGCACAAAAAATGCCGATTCCGGTTCTTTCGTACTCTGTTTACAACTTTTCTTCCATCCTTTGTCTTTATTGATCATGTAGGAGTAGTCGAAATATGAGTGCTTGTTATTCACAGGTGTTTCTGATCGTTCGTTGAATTATGAGATCTTTATCAAACTTTCCTTAGTATGGAAGTTGCTCTTCGCAGTTTCGCTTACCTAAGTAGCTCTAATTTATGGATCTTACAATATTTCTTTTAAACACTGCTTTTTGTAAGATTAGTTGGGGAAAATACGATTCATGCTTTCATTTTACATTGAACTTATGGTGGTGGTCCTCGCTTCCATTTGCTTTCATTGCCAAAACGGTACCTAGCCAATCAAATATTGCTTAGACGCATAAACATTTTTTCGTTTAGTTGTTATGACGCGATTCCGGTGAGCAGGTGCTTGGCAAAAATGCTTCCGAATTTGATTTATAGCTTAGTTATTCACGATATTCTATGCTGAAAGTCAGGATAACTTTGTTTACAAATGTTCAGTCCAGTTTAAAGTAGGATACCTCCTCGTTTTTTGGTCGAAGTTTCTCGGAAACCCAATCGCTTTTGAGTGTGTGTGGGAGACCTGCAGTAGTTGAGATGTTCATTGATTGACTGATTCGCGATGTCTTTTATAGTTTTGAAAGCGCTGTGATGATATTTGAACTTTCAACGCTTCCAAATTGATATTATCGATTCATGGGTCTCGATATACATCTGCCTAGTGTTCGTTTTCAGGAATATTTGAAGTATTTTCATTAACCCTGCAGTCATCACGTTTCGTTTCGTGTCCGTTGCTGCGATGTCGACCTCCCTTTCCGAGGGCTATGAACAAACTCAACGTGGTGGTGCGAAGGCATGGGAGGAAACCTTCATGGTAATTGAATTATCACCGATTTCTGCATAGTTATGAAACGTTTCCCTTCGTAGAGAATGCATGTTGAATCATACAAGGAGGTGGAAGGTCGGGGATTGACCACCAAGATCGCCAAGAATTTACTTAATATGGATCGAAATCGTTATGTGGATGTTCTTCCATGTGAGTAGCTTCTGTAGTCTTGTAGTAAGGTACGAACTACTGAAGAAGCTCTTTTGTGTCTTCACTCATTCTCTCTAAAATTGGTTTTCTAAATATTTGTGTACAACTATACATCAGTTTTCTAGTCGATCAGTGCCGCATTGTGCTTGGTTCAAGTACAAATGAGGATGACTCTTACATAAACGCTTCTCCAGTTTCGATTAAGCAAGCACACAGAAACTATATACTTGCTCAGGTAAGGTTGTAGAAAACTGTTCTCAATTCCCACCTACATACAACCTTTTTGCTTCAGGGACCCCTTGAAAACACCTGCAATGATTTTTGGCAGATGATTTGGGAGCAGAACGTGCCGGCAGTTATCATGCTCAATAAGATTATGGAAAGCGGCCGTCACAAGTGAGTCGCCGAATTTCCTCCTGCATTGCTCTCAAAGCTAATCTCCTTTGTGCTTCTTCAGATGTGCAGTCTATTTTCCGTCCAAAAACGAACCTGAAGTGGAGTTTGACGACTTCACTGCACAACTGGAAAGTGAAGAGCAGCATCACAATTTTGTAGTACGACGGATTTACTTGAAAAAGAATAAGGAGGGAGATGGTCAGATATCTTTCTCGAGTTTTTGTTTTTGTCGGATAATTTGCTGTTTCTATTCGTGAGTCGTTTTTAGTTTTGAAGCTGGACTCCCTATTCTTTAAGGTCCTCCGCGTAAGATATTACACGTTCAGTATACGGAATGGCCAGATTTCGGAGTACCCGCCTCAACTAAATGCTTTCTCAACATGCTTTCTTATATAAAAGGTAATTTCCTAAACGAGTAAGCCTAGAAACACTGTAAAGGCCATGAAAACTATTTTAAGACATTTAACATTTCGGCACCAATATGCAATGAAGACATTCTTTGTAATGCAAAGTTGTACTTATTCAAAGCAACTGGGTGTTTTAGAGCAGAATGTGCTGAGTACTGATGATGATGGCCCGCCATGTGTAGTACACTGTTCTGCGGGTATCGGTCGATCTGGAACATTTATTATTGTTGATGGAGTGCTAAGAATGGTTTGTTCATTTTAATGTTTGATGTTCGTTGAGTTTCTCCGCACGTCAATGTTACTTTTGAAGTCATCAAGGGTTCCACTATTTTCGCACACTGCGTTGAATGTTGCCGCCCCAATTTCATGTCAGTCCTTCGTAAAACGTGAACTTTGTAGTTCTATTGGCACTATTCCCTATATTTGTTAGTTGCGACTCTGGATTTAAACGCCATTGACCTTGAGCTAGTTAGATTCGCAAAACTGTTATTCATATACGTGAAGTGTATTTCATTTCGTATTTCAAATGCTTCTAAAAAGTAAAGTTGGATATTTGCAGATTGAACTAGGCATGGCGGAGTCTGATATATCTCTCAATAAACTACTTATAGATCTCAGATGGTACGTCGTTTACCTTGCCTTTCGTAAAATCACACCAGGCGATATCTAAGTTTCATCTATTTTCAGTCAGCGTTTTGGACTGATTCAAACACCTCAACAGCTCATGTTCAGCTGGCATGCGATTGTGGATGCCCTTCAGCAGAAGAAGAATAACTCGGTAAGCTGGTAATCGTTCATTCAACACCTCGATGAGCATGCTGGATTCAGGAATCGTCTTCCAACTCGACCGTGAATAGGACAGATTCTGATGCATGTCCGCTAACAGACAGAAAGAACAAGCGGAAAACTGAAGAGAAAGCAGACAACACAAATGACGATCGTCTCGCTAAACGGTGGGTTACAGTGTTGGTTCTGAATGCCCATACTTTTTCTGCTTGGTTGTCTTGCATGTAGCAGTTATTATTAAGTGTGAATGTTTTCAGAAGACCGAACGCAGACCTTTGACTGTGTTTGATTTGAGGTATTCGTTTTGCTGTGTAACCACTGTGCGCATTTCTTAAATTATTAGATTCCTCCGATCTCATGTCGAACGCACACTTCTTCGTAGCGGTTTATAATTGAACATTGAGTTGGAATGTGCGCAGTTCCCGCTTGGAATTATTCTTTCAACAGCGGATAGTTGTTCAATTTTTTTATATGTGATGGTACTAAGCCCTGCATCAAAGGTACAGGGGTACAGGTAGTACATGAGTGAGTCAAACAGTTTCTGTTCTGATGTTTTGCCACCGCTAGAACTGGTTCGTCATATGGTAGTATTTTGCCGCATAGGTTGAGCAGAAGGGCTGTGAATCAAAACTGGCAGAGCGCTAAAATGAAATAGGTGGGAATGAAAAATAGAGCGCGTTATAAATCAGTTGTAGATCTACCGTTGAGCTTAGTTTCAATATTAGCTAATGAATGAGGATAGATTAAAGTTTATTCTTCAGTTGCATACTTTTCATATTTCGATGTACATCTTATATGCTACATGCACAAATTTTGTAGTGGCCTTTGAGCTTGAAACATTTCCTCCTAACTGTTTCCAACAAATTTCGAAAAAANAAAAAACTCTCAGTTCTCTGATACCCCGCCGCCCCCGCTCTCCCCCTCCCTCTTCAGTTAGGGCAATGGATATTGTCAGTTGTGAACTGATTGGGGAATTCAGAATTGCTAGTGTGGTTTGTGTTTGCATTACCGTGTTTGTGTGCTGTTGTGTCTTATTCCCGGCTTCTCACTGCCTTTCAGCCTATCAGGATAAATTCAGTAGTTCAAGTGGAAGTTGTTGTAGCTGCATTGCTCAGAACTTGCCGGGATGGTGGTGTGTGCACGACTTCTGCTTTTTTTTTTTGGTCTATAGATCAAGCATGCTTCTGGCAGAACCTTTGGAGAGGTAACAGAAAAGAACGCAATATTTTAAGGCAGCGAGCGCAGAATGAAGAACCCGAGAGTCACATTTGAAGTGATGTCGTTCAGACGTGAGATGGTCGCCCGTATGGTAGCTCGTAGTCGTGAGTCGGAAGCTGCTAGGCGAAGTCTCGTAGGAAATCTCGCGAACCATATGGGCATCAGTACTCGATCTGTGTACGCTGCCGGTGGTGCTTTGATTCTAGCAGTTATGGTCGGTTTCTACGCCTACAAACGATGATATCTTGTTTTTTGTTCTGTTCATTCTGAATTTTAAAGTGACCGTTTTCCAAATTCAAAGAATTCTGAACTAATGGAGGGCTTCGTGATTATCCTTGCTGTAAAGCATTGATGTAAGTTTACAACGAGTTACGGGTAACAGAAAATTATTTCGAGGTGGTTTAGCGAAGCGGTTGTAAAGCAAGGTATACTCACGTGATCTCCAGTCATAGCTGTTAGTTAATTTTTTCTTCAAATGGTGGTTGTTTCTTGCCTTCTGAACCAGTATCTAGTATTAAATATTCGTTCATCATTCCTATCTCGTTGGATAATACCTTTTCTTATACCAAAAATGATCACTCCCATAATAGAACTATTTATTTATTGCTCAATGATTCTGCGATTATTGAAGTGTCCGCTCTGTCAGACAAATATTCCAAATGAGATGACCTATGCATATGGCCTTATATTCCGATTTGTGATCAATCAGCAATTTTCTGGTCGTGAATATCTTGCTGTATTCCGTCAGTATGAGTAACTTTGTAAAAACTTCTCTAATTACGTGATATTCAGATGAATAAATATTCGTTTGTTTTGTTTTTTTTTATTCATAACTCACTTGTATTGTCGAATACATACTTGATCGTTCATTCTAACTATGTGTTTATTCACAATAGAGAGCTATTTTCGCTGAGAAATATTTCAACCCTGTCGTTTACTACAATATATACCAATAGGAATGTTTGGATCAAGCTCCTCATTTGGAGCGAAACCGTCAATTTTTGGTAGCACAACAACTACCACCACAACCACTAACCCTAATGCGGAAGATATTGCCGTGAGTGGTCCAATCAACATTCCCAATCGAAAGACAGTCTATCAACGCAGTATTAAGGTCGAAGGATCACCAGATGATACAGTCCAAGTGCTCCGGTTTAGCCCGAATCCAAACGAAAAACCCTTGTTAGCGGCTGGAAGTTGGGATGGTGTTGGTCCTCGAGTTTTTTCATTGGAATGCATGATGTTGATGTTGTTTTCCATTAGGTCGTTCGAGTGTGGATGGTAAACGATAATGGGCAATGTGAGGGAAAGGCGCAGCAAAATATCCCAGCTCCAATACTTGATCTATCGTGGACAGATGTAAGCGTTTGTTGGTTCTTGAGTTCATTCCTACCAGATTTTTTTAGTTTTTTTCGGAAATCCAAAAGTGTTCTTAGCTCTATCGCTGCTCTTATTTGTAGTTGTATTGACTTTCGATCTTTTGTTTTCTTTATTGGATCTGAGGTTCCAGGATGGTACAAAGATATTCATAGCAGCTGGCGACAAGGAGGTTCGGTTGTGGGATCTCGCTTCCAATCAAGTCGCTGTCGTTGGAACGCATGACGGCCCTGTGAAGACCTGTCATTGGATTAAAGGTAAGCTAGACCATGCTCCCTTTTAGGGAGCGTTTTTGCTTCCGGTTACTCATTTGTTAGGAGATCTCAGCGTTTCTTACTTTACCTTCATCCTTACAGTGTAGTGAAGGTGTAATTGCAAGCAGTGATTACACTGCATTATAGTAACACCACAGAATCAATTATCATTCCTCTTGGCGGTATGGTTTCCCCAGTAACTCTCATCACAATATCTATTCGGCTAGCACGAGCTTTTTGGACAGAATCCGTTTTTGTGAGTGGACGGCATACAGAAAAATAGGTTGTCAGGCAAGAAAAGCAATTGTGTTATGCTGAAGAGAGGACTGAAAATGCTAGCTTCCTTAACATTGGTCAAGAAAAATCTTGGCTGCTCTCCATAGCATACCACAGGAGCCACTTAAAAAATCTTTTTCACTTGGATTCCTAGGATTCCTACACTTCATAACGTCCAGTAGAGTGTAGACTGACAATGCCGTTTTTGAAATTTGGTATTTGTTAAATCACCTATACATATATAGCGAGTGTTTGCTCTGCTTTTAAATTCGATGAATACCATCATTTGTTTCTAGGCAACAATTATTCTTGCTTAATGACTGGATCATGGGACAAGACCTTACGGTTTTGGGATATGAGGCAGTTACCGACACAGTCTTCGCTCGCTAATATAACGGTACGTTTTTGTATATGTAAGACTTTATATTGTGAATTTTACCTCGTTGGGACTCCCATAAATTTTTGCGTATTCCATTTTGGTAAACTGCAAATTACCCTTCTTTTTTTATCGACTACATTCCATGCCTCTGATTATGCGCTCGTTAGATGTAGTGTTCTTCGTTTCGATGACCTTTATCCCAATAACTACTCTGCCACTTCAATCCCTAATGATCCATGCTGTTGTTATCGCTTTTTAGCTGCCAGAACGGGTGTACTGCGCTGATGTGTTGTACCCCATGGCCGCTGTTGGTTTAGCAAATCGCCACATAAAGGTGTACAATCTGGAAAACGGACCACAAGAAGTGAAAAATATAGAAAGCCAGTTGAAATTCCAGGTCTGTTGATTTTTGTCTAGTTTTTATTAGCGATATTTCGTAGGCGTTCAATTTTGAGTAGTCACGTTGCGATTATCCCCTGCTGTCTATGATCTGGTTTATGCCGGTGGTCTCATTTTGTACCTGGTCGATATTCCAAGAAGATCGGAATCTCATAAAGATAGAGTGATTGCAGCTTTAATTGTACAGAGGACTAGATACTCAGAGCTCCTTTTTAGCACCGGTGCGTGTCTATTTTCAAGGACAAAACTAATTCAATGCCTTGTGGTTTTGCCGTAGGATCTATAGAAGGTCAGTTTTTTTTTCTACATGAAGGGAAACAGAAGAATACAGTAAAAAATACCGTGTTCTATCACTGGGATGATGGATCTTGAATGAGATCGTTTTGTGTTTTTCTTTACAGCTTTTCAGTCGGCACACTGTTGGATGTAGTGCTCATGCTGATCTCGAGTCCTAGTCTGTTTAATAACTCATCAAGTTCTAGGACAGTTTTCGTGACCAAACCATAGAAAACCATAGAACACTTTCGTTATTGCAGTCGCTGCGTTAAGTACTGCCTAAATCGTTATACTTGTATATGCTCGTTTGTCTCGGACATAGATGTTCTCTTTCTCTCCTTTCTTTCTCACGACAGATCATACGTTCCGCACCCTCTTTATGGTCTCTCTGAAAACCCCTTTGGTTCAAGAAGCGAATATTTTGAAAGATTTGTTGCGAGAGATGCAGTGCTTTATTGCGTGAGGCGGTTCTTCTAATATTTCTTGCCATCATTTTTTCTAGAAATCGTGAAGATATGAGTGAGGGCAACGAACGAAACTCTGAAATTTTACTATCAACAATTTCAAAAAGTTACGTTTGTTGGTTGTTAACAAATCAAGCGATCTGCTTAGAGTAGTGCTACGATTGTTTAAACAAGAATTATTTGGTTTGACAGTTACCACTTTGATATATTAGGTGTGCATTAACTTCCACCGTTTTTCGCATGCAAAAACATACTTATTGCAAAATTAAAACCAAAAGTACATTGACCAATGTATTGCTCATCGTTAGCTGCAACTTCTTGCCATCTTTCTGATATCTTGTTGGCTTCGGGTCTAAAAAAGTCTTCATCTTCTGAGGCAATCCTGTTATCCCCCCATTTTCGCACTTCTTCGGCATTCCGGAAGCGTGTATCTGCCAAACTGACTTGCATGGACCGGAATAGGTGGTAATCAGAAAGAGCATGACCCGGAGAGTATGCGGGCTGAACAGGGTGATCCCATCCAACAACTGCAATTTTTCTAAGGACATTCTTCGCAACATGGGGTCTGGCATGTTCGTGCTGGAACAGCACCTCATGATATTTTCTTGCGATTAACGGCCGCTTTTAGGTGAGAGCAGCCTACAAACTGTCAAGTTGGTGTTCGTAGCGGTCAGCAGTAACAGTTTGGTTCGGATTCAGCAGCTCATGCTTCACAACACCCTTTTGACGCCACCACCAAATGCACACACAGCAATACTTTTTGACATAGACATTCCGCTTCCGTTGCAAACTCTCAAGTGAAGAGAAACCACNCACCTCATGATATTTTCTTGCGATTAACGGCCGCTTTTAGGTGAGAGCAGCCTACAAACTGTCAAGTTGGTGTTCGTAGCGGTCAGCAGTAACAAATTGGTTCGGATTCAGCAGCTCATGCTTCACAACACCCTTTTGACGCCACCACCAAATGCACACACAGCAATACTTTTTGACATAGACATTCCGCTTCCGTTGCAAACTCTCAAGTGAAGAGAAACCACCTCAGCAGATCCGTTCAGATGAAGTTTTCCTCCATAAAAGCATCCGGTGGGCTTCAATGCCAGTTTTCTTGAAATCAAACAGCAGGAGAAGGGCCCCCGGGAAAACGGTTTATCACGTTCGATGACTAATCAGTCTGGGAGCAACGGGATTTTGGGGAAAAACTGATCTGTCTGCCCTTAAGTAGGTAGCCAATACCCTACCTTACAGAACATGACAGGTTTCACCGGTAAACCTGTAACATGGTTCGCGCAACGACCCTTGGAATTCGGCGGCGGAAATTAATGCACACACCTATTATTTCCAAATCTTTCGCTTATTCTTCTTCCATCTTCACTTAGAACCCCAAAATCTCATTTCTCCGTTTCAAAACGTGCAATGTCAGAAGTTGTGTGATACGGAATCGTTCCGTATGCTGAATCACCAGTCTTCAGCAATCCGACAATCAAAAGGGTCATGTTACCGTTGTGATGTCTCCGATTTCAGGAAAAAATTCGATTAGCGAGAATAATATTTTCGCTTCGGCTTTTGTTTTTTCTTTCGGAATAGAAGGAAGTTGTTTAAAGAGTATGCATTTCTGTGAGCATCTATTGCTATTGTAGAGAAAATTCCTCCAGGGGAACGAAACTTGTCCCAGTCATCCTCTAGAGAGTATTTTTTCATTTTCATAGTCATTAAAAGTGCCGTCAAATGTAGGTCAAGGGAAAAATAGCTTTCAAAAAAACTGTTCACCAAACTTGGCAAAACTGCATAGATTTTTTTGTATTGGTGTGGCGGGAATCTTGCGCGTGGGGATGAGTGCAGTACTTTGTGCTTGGGCTTCTCTAATCGTCTCATTTATCAGAGTTTCTTCGATGTTTTAACTCCAAAATGGGAGATGTTAGGCCTAACATTGAGTAGCATCCGCAGTTTAATAATGAAAAAGGGGCTATTCGAAATGCCTTACGTTCTCGAATAGATGGACAGTGGTGGACGTAGCACAGCTCTGACGAATCAAACTCTACTGGGCAGTTGAAATCTATTATCGTCTATAGAGAGGAAAGAAATCAGCAAGGCGACGTATTGCATTGCCATCATACCTACTTGTTTCCTAACAGTAGGTACTCAAATGCAAAGTATATCCCATCTGTGAAGGAGCGCTTTATCCAGCGGGAGGATGTAGCTGAAAAGGAGCCAGCCAAGACTGGAAAACGCACAACATAACGTTAAAAAATGCTTTTGTTCTGATTGTGCGCTGCATCTGACCACCTAAAGCCCTAGTTCTTAGCAGCAGCGCCTGGACTCAATCGTTGTTTGCTTTGCCAAATTTTGTATTGGCTGTCAGTGATTTTCTCGTACTACAACAACAAACGAAAAAAAAAACAGTTGTTCATTGATAATTTTTTATTTGATCCACTTTTTGTTTCGTTTTGAATTTTTCCAACGACCTTCATAAGGAGCTATGCCAAGCTTACCATTAGGAACCTGTGGAATGGGGCCCTGATTTCTCACGGTTTCTGCCAGTGTACGGGAACAACGTAGAAAAAACCTAGAATACTAATTGTTGCTGAAATCTGCAATATTGCCCATAGTCCCCATTACATCACTTTTTCTGCAAATCGCTTTTTCTCGTGGCTAATTGAAATCTTTTTTTCTCACACTGCCTTCGCCAATCTACCCATAAGCACAACAGCTTGAATGACTGCCTTCAATTTTTAAATCTATCTTCGATACTACCATCACAGCAAAAATTCTACATATTCGATGATATTCCTCTGGCGTTCGAGGTTTTTGGGTGGAACTATTTATTAAGCTAACATTCTGAAATTTTGACGTGATCCTTGTCTTTTGAGACAAGAATTCCCTTCAAAGCGGACAGACTCGACACCGGTCGCCAACTGGCCACTGTCGGTATCGAGTCCTGTGCGCTTCAAGTGGAACCCTGGACTCTGAAGAGGGCATCGAAGCGTCAGACCATTGATTTTATAGTTCCACTTGAAATCTTCGGACTGCAGTAGAATTTTACCAATGCATACAATAATGCCAAGGGTAAAACAAGAGAGATGTCGGAAACTATAGATAGTCACTTCCAACAACCGGGAACCTTAGTAGATAATGCGCAACCAGCTTTTTGCCTTCACCGCATTTAAGAGGATAGCTTTTTAAATCCTTGTATTTTAGGGTTAAGATGATCCTTCATCTTTTTGTTACTGTTTTTTTTTCCTGCGCGACAATTTTTCATCAACATTATCTTCTAGGGACTTAATGCGAAATGATAGCTGACCTCCTATTTTCCAAATTCATAATTAGCCTTCCTTAGAGACGCCAGTTTTGTTTAGTCCTAGTCCCCGATATAATGCAGTTTACCTTTAGATGATGAGTTGCGCAACAGCTTTCTTTTGACACTTACTTTGACACGTGGGATAAAATTTAAGTTAAAGCTGTCATTTTTTCTTGGAAAATTTGGCCTTACCTCCGGAGTTGAAATTTGATTTCCATTTATAAGTAGATATAAATGCTGAGCTGCCAATTATAGGCACAGTTCTAACTTTGGATAATCCAAATTACGATGAAAAATGGAAGCCAAGATCGAAAATAGTGCGACGATGGCGAAGAAACTGCGTGAATCGGTGTTTCTAAAATGAAAAAAAAGCTTCAGGAAATCTTTAAAAAAGGGGCTGGACGAGAATGAGGCCCAAAAAATGGAGAGGAATGGGGCGTTTGGACGAGCTATAAAATGTGTCTCACTGCGTGCGTGTGGGTCCTGATGCGAATACTGTCTACGTTAAGCAGAAATTTATTCACGCATGAGCATAAGTTAACAAAAAACCCTAGTAAAGCAAAAATAGCCCACCTTTTCCAGCCTTTCATGTTAGATAGTTGAATAGGGGATCGCAGCAGAAAAAAGAATAACAGGGAGTAAAAGGAAAGGAGAAAAACATTGCCTCATCACTCGGCGATCAACTGATTGTGTGTGGGTTCTACAACGAACAATTGCAATCTGTATCGCCTCGACACTCGTCTGACGTGAGATCGATCGAGGGCGGGAAGGCCGCGCGAGCCGGGAACGGGAACTCCCACTATGCCCTAACCGTCGAGTTTTTTGGCGCGAGAGGGTCCTTCCTATTACCTTTAGAGGCACTGGGCATTCCTAAGGGCAGACTCAGTAACCATTTTTATCGTGAACTGTGCCTTTAATGTGACACTTGAAGATTGCAATGCCCAAATAGCCTTCGTTGTAAAGGCCTGTTGAATCCGGTTTCGAGTTCGAGCCGTTACGCCGCTATGATATGAGATAAACAGTGGAAGCAATCAGACCACTGTTCCTTAGCAACAGGCAACAAAAAAGGATTAGTGAACAATAATCCTTGGTTATTTTTGTTCGCAAATTGTATTAGGTTGATGCATAATTATTATTTTGAATTTTTTCTCGGCTTCTTTTCTCCCGATAGAATTTGAACATGAGTTCATGTTTCTTCTATGAATGATCTGCTTGATTTCCTCTCCAAAAATCTACTTAGAAAACCATCCACATATTCGCGAAATTAGGCTCTACTACTTCGAGAAGTTGGAAGGCGGCGGGTCATTCCGCGATCTCAGCAAGTTTCCGACGTTGGA